ACCGCAGTACACACTTTTTGAAGTTAACGTTTAATGCGAAATAATCCATATTTTAAGAAAATAAAAGGAAACGCTTTAATGCGGATCACATAAAAAATGTTAAGGGGGCAGGGAACATATTCGAATGATAGCCCCGGTCAAATTTTTTAATAACTCAGACATGGTGTTTTTAAGGTACTGATAACTTCTGATATTTCTCTGTCATTGTAATTCTTTCTTGTTTGTGTGTAGGAAATGAGATATATTTTTGGGTTTTTACCCGAAACTAAGCATTTTGGTAGCTTTGTATGTATTTCTGACTCTCCGAATGGAGGTGAAAAAGTTAAAAATCAAGCTTTGACAGTTGGCGCAAAACAAGTAAGAAATTTCAGATGAATTTTGTAAAAAATCTAAACGTATGACAGACACTTTATTTGTCATTTCTGAAAATGCCATAGCTTGCACTGCGTGTTACTGATATTTTTAAAGGAATCGGGCGGATTCTGGAGTATGCTGCACCTTCATGAAGATTGCCCATATTGGTATATTTTAGGTGTGATTTTGGCTGGGTGGGGGTAAATATAAATTGCTGTCAGTCATTTTTTGAAGGAGCAATGCATGCAAGCTATTATTTTTTCAATGTATGTCATATATCATTGAATAATGCTGTGCAACTGGTTATCTGCCTGTGAAACATATTTTGAAATATTTGGAATTGTGTTTCTGGTCACACTGAAATACAAAATTTTTCATTTTTAGGTCCCCTGCCCCCTAAGTGCGCAGGACGCCAGTCTACGTATCTGTTTTCAATCAAAGTACATCGGCTTTTATTGTTATCTTGTAATTCGAAAAGTTGCGATGTGTTAATTCAGCACTTCGGACGACAGTTTTCAAAACCATATCACTAGCAGGTACTCGTGTTCTCGTAAAGTTCGCTTTGCGAGCAGGCCCTTCGGGTCAGCTCGTCGAGCACGCTTTTATTGAATGTACATGATTTCATACTCAAAAAATTAAGAATTGATACATACAATTACAGACATGCTGATCCGATAATACAAACCATGCATTCGTATACATTAATGTTCTTGAGTCCTTAATCCGTTATATTGGTTTTAGCTTTAGCCATGACGTTGATTCATGCATAAGCCCATAATTTTGGTTCATGCGTAAGCCCATTATTTTGTTTCATGTTTCAGACTTTATGTTTATACTGAAGTTGCTCTGTTGCTTCATACTTAGCCTACTTTATCTGATCATGCTGTCAATATTATGGTTCGAACTTATTTCACTGCAGTGGTGAATGTTCAACCCACTTTGTTTCTTCCAAACGAAATCATGCTTAATTAATATCAATTATTCATGGCTTGCCAATACTTGTTTTTTTTTTTAAACATTACCATTATGTTGCTGCCAACTTACAAAGACTGCCAATAAGCTTGATATTTTTATTCTATAACTATTATATCTTCCTTCATATATTTTTCACGCAAAATTATTTACTTATTTTCTGGCGATACTCGCCAATTATTGTATGAAGTATATAAACTACAACATTTGAAAACTTTTATCAATTCAACTCGTTTATCTTGTTTATATTTAAGCTTTATCTGGTTTTCATTAAAACATTATCTCATATCCATTCAAAATGGTGGGATCGAAATTTTATCCTATTCAAAGGGGTATACAATACTCATACGCTTACACATTTATTATTTTTAAATATTGACACATCACTTTAATTTTATTTTGTTTTCAATTACAGGTTTAAATATAATTCCAAAACAATATTCAATTCATATGCGTCTAAATCGTTCTTTTCTTATCCTTTGTGTGATTCTCTGTCGCAACATTTCAAACATGTAAAGTTGCTTCAACTTTATGCAAAGTTCTAACGTCATATTAGGTCTAGTTTTTGAAACATTCCAGTTTAATTTGGTCAGTGACAAAAGTAAAAAAAAACAGATTCAAAACAGCAAAGCCCTGATAGAAATATTTTTATTAAGCTTAACAAGTCCTCGACGACGACAATAAATCTGCGAACAGTCACGTGCATGTGGTTTTAGCGTTTTTGTGACGCAATATATACAAGGGAGGACAATACCGGCTACATGATTCATAAAATTTATGCATATATTATTTGTAAGATTTGTAATAACTTAAATTGCTGCACACAACCTATGGGGTCACAATACTTATTACCTTGTGACTAGTCATGACCTGTAGAGATTACATAACCCTTATTAATTGTTTGTTCACTGGGTCAGAAGTAATGCATAATAACCTGATCATATGACTAATTGGCTGCGGATAGGGGGCATACATGTTTTATAAACATATCTTGTTTCATTTTATAGCTCGACTTTTTTTTATAAAAAAGTAGAGGTATTGCTATAGTCGCGGCGGCTTTGCCGTTGCCGTTCCCTTCCGCAAACTTGTACCTGGATCATAACTTTTTTATTTCTTAGTGTATTGTCTTCATACTTGGCCATAACAACCCTTGGGACAAGACCTTTCAGTAGACCACACTTACCTTGACCTTCATCCATAAATGACCTTGACCTTCAAGGTTAAAAGTCCAAATTTTGATTGTTCATGCTGTTATTGGCTGTAACTTTGTTATTTTTGAATGGATTGTCTTCAAACTTGAACATAATATTTAATCTTCAAGGATATCCCTTAAAATAACCAGACAGACCTTGACCTTCATTCATAAATGACCTTGACTTTCAAGGTCAAATTATTGAAATTTTCATTCTTTTTGGCTATTATTGGCTGTTACATTGTTATTTTTTAATGGATTGTCTTCAAACTTGAACATAATAATGTTCAAGGATAACCCTTAAAAATAGTCAGACAGACCTTGACCTTCACTCATTAATGACCTTGTCTTTGAAGTTCAAATTATTGAAATTTTCAGTGTTTTGGCTGTAACTGGCTGTAACTTTGCTATTATTGAAGGGATCAACTTCATATTATAACAGAACAAAGTTAAGGACAATACCTTGTTGTTTATCAAACACTTTAGCTTTTTAATGACCTTTACCTTGAAAGTTAAATTACTAAATTTTCTTAGATTTGTGCATTAAATGACCATATATTTATTGGTGTGTGTGTGTGTATGTATGTATATATATATATATATATATATATATATATATATATATATATATATATATATTATATATTTCATCATCATCAACAACAACAACACGTGACTCCACCACCATATGGACACCACCACGTGACTACCACGTGACTCTACCACGTGACTCCACCATGTGACTCCACCACATGACTAGAAATTGTTGAATTGATTTTGGCCGCTCAATGTGGCCCAAATAATATCTACTTCTGTATATGACCATTTCTAACAACAAATCTCAGGGCCATTATTGTAAGGCTACGGTCCAGCTATATGGTACCAGGCCCCTTTTCCTCTTAAAAATGTGCTCAAGACTTGGTGACCAATAATCGTACTGGACTGTAGAGAACGATATTGTATTTACGAACAATGAAACGATCACAAATATAACAATGTTCTATATAAAATAGAAATTGGTTAGGGTTAGAGGGACTGATGATACTTGTTTAGGACGACTGTCAAAGTCTATATATAGATCTATTTAGCTGAAATATGCTATTACGACATCTGTCAATAGTGGGCTACTCTGTATGACCCGGTATGGCTAGGACACTGTACTCCACAGTACTTGAGAACACTTCCTTACTTCTGGAGGTACGCCAGTTTAAGATTAAAGTTGACTCACAAAGAAGAAAGACTGTTCACAGTTTACTAATTTTAATTAGTGTTAAACTGTTAATAAATTCAATTGTCAAATATTCAAATAACAGTATTATAAAAACATCAACACAATTTGTATATAATTCAGTCGTAAATATCCGATAGCTATGTCTTACATAGACTTCACATAAATTATTACCGCGACTGCAGTTTAATTTCTATTAAAAAATATGGCAACGTAAATATAAAGTTTGGTCGAGTCAGTGCCCGTAATAATGTGAAACAAAAGTTATTAAGTTCTTATCAATTATACTAAGAGAAGAATTGATTAAATGTAAAATAATAATCTAAAGACTACGTTTTATTTTGCCTTAAAAATAAGTAAAATTTGCCGTTCAAAAGAACACGAAAATAATGTAAACTAACCGAAAGTTAAATGAAAACTGACTCAAGTTGATCATTTTCTGGCCTATATATACCAAATCTGAGAAAACGAACATAAGAAGGTTCGAAAAATGTTCAACTGTACGTTTTGGTCGGTGGACAATGTTCGACGTTCGAAAACTGAACATTTGACGTTCGGAAACGATCAATTCTATACACAAAGAACGCTGTCAACCAACCAAACGTCCGAAAATCTACAATTCTTAGCTAAAGTTCTATGAAAGTTTACATAAAAATACGATAAATTGATACATATAATATTTATAAAAATGACTAGTACCATGGATTGGCTATAAGTTTGTTGTTTTTGATGAAACATAACTTTGTAACGGTTTGTTTACTGAGTTTAGGCAGCAATTGCTATTGACAACGGAAGTCACACAACCCATAATGCATCAGCGAACAACAACAATATCTGTCAAAGTTTACAGAGTAAAATTACAGTAAATGCTACATTCTAGCTAAATGTACGCTGATTATAAGAAAATATGTAAACAATTAATGAAATAAATCATTTCTCTTTTTAATTCTGACATTTTTTATAGTTGTCAGTCTCTCAAATTAACAAATGGAGTGTTTATCGGTATAATTATGCTAAATGTAAACAATGCCGATAATGACATACAACCGGAGTATATAAGTGAGATTATATCAATATGGCCCTCTAGAGATTGTAACAATGCCTTCATTATAAGTCAAAGTTCTTGGTCCCTTAACTGGACCCAGCTTTCAGGGCACACATGTACAAGTGTTTGTGATCAGTCATACTAGTAGTTAATGTTGGTTTTCCTCGGATTCTTACAAATTGTAGCTAAAAATATTTCTTTTTTTCTAGAAATCAAGATGGCACATGAGATACATTTAAAGAACAACAAATACCGGCAGTGGGTTAAGGCTGGCCTAGGCTTGGGTTATCTTAAAGAGGGACTTGCGCCATTTTGTGATGACATAGGAAACCAGCAGCACAAAGATATTATAAACCAAATACAACAAACAAAGACTCCTCAACCAAACATACCATGTGGCGCCTGTCAGATAACAACTCTCCAGCCAGATCATGTCCGAGTCTCAAAAGGGATATGTCCCCTCAATCAAGATAAATGTAACTGTTGTTTTCCAAGTAATAAGAGACCCTGTCCAAACAATATATGTGGTGCCATCTATGACAGCATTATACAGTATCATGCATCAATGCCACCGGCACCTTTTTGGAAAAACAGTGATGCCCAACAGTGGTCGTCAGACCCGTGGAACGTTTGCAAATGTTTTATAAATGCTCCCGGGTACAAGGACAAGACATCAGCAGTCGACACTGATTGCACTGGGTTGCTGCATGTTGTCATAAATAACAAGTACTTTCATAGCCATATTGGATGCAATGTTACAGGACCAAACAATCTTTTTTCAAAGGTAACTCCATTTGTATACTATATGTTTATTTTAAATTTTGTAGAATATTAGGCTTTACTGTAAGATTAAAATGTTGTCTGTTAATAAATTGCGTATAAAAGTTAAAGAGATAATTGTTACCTTAGTATAGTTATTATGCCCCAACTTCAAAGAAGAGGGGGTATATTGCTTTGCATTTGTCAGTCCGTCAGTCCTGACCAAATGGTTTCCGAGTGATAACTAAAGAACCCTTAGGCCTAGGAACTTGGTATGGTGATTGGTCATGACCAGTAGATGACCCCTGTTGATTTTGGGGTCAAGGGGTCAAAGGTTAATGTCACATTGATCTTGTAGGTAAAAATGGTTCCCGATCAATAACTAAAGAAGCTTAGGCCTAGGAACGTCAAAATTGGTATGGTGATTGGTCATGACCAGCAGATGACCCCTATTGATTTTGGGGTCAAGGATAAAAGGTCAAGGCCACATTGACCTTGTAGGTGAAAACAGTTTCCGATCAATAACTAAAGCACGCTTAGGCCTAGGAACTTCAAACTTGGTTTGGTGATTGGTCATGACCAGCAGATGACCCCAATTGATTTTGGGGTCAAAAGGGTCAAATGTATAGGTCACATTGACCTTGTAGGTAAAAATGGTTTCCGATCAATAACTAAAGAAGCTTAGGCCTAGGAACTTCAAACTTGGTATGGTGATTGGTCATGTTTAGCAAATGATCCCTTTTGATTTTGGGGTCAAAGGTCAAGGTCACATTGACCTTGTAGGTGAAAACGGTTTCCAATTAATAACTTAAAAACACTTTGACCTAAAAAACTTCAAACTTGGTATGATGATTGGTCATAACCGGCAGATGACCCCTATTTGTTTTGGGGTCCAAGGTTAAAGTCACATAGACCTTGTAGGTAAAAGCGGTTTCTGATCAATAACTAAAGTACGCTTAGGCCTAGGAACTTCAAACTTGGTATGGTGATTGATCATGACCAGCAGATGACCCCTATTGATTTTGGGGTCAAGGGGTCAAAGGTCAAGATCACATTGACCTTATAGGTAAGGTAAAAACGGTTTCCGCAGTCAATAATTCTAAGAACGCCTTAGGCCTAGGAACTTCAACTTGGTATGTGATTGATAATGACCAGTAGGTGACCCCTATTAATTTTGGGGTCAAGGGGTCAATGTCATTTTGACGTTGTACTTAATGACGATTTCTGACCAATAACTCAACAACTCAAGTTGACTTGGTTGATATTTTTATATTAAACTAAAAATGCTTTTGGTATACACATTTGAAGGTCTTATGTAAAAACTTGGCTGTCATTAATGAGGCCTGCATGATTCACAAAATTTATGCATATATTATTTGGTAAGATTTGTATTAACTTAAATTGCTGCACACAACCTATGGGGTCACAATGATTATTATTACCTTTTTACCTTGTGACTAGTCATGAACAGTAGATACTAGATAACCCTTATTACAGTTAAACTTCGTTCGCTCGAACTTGGATCGCTCGAATACCTCCCTTCGCTGGAACTCATCGCCCAGTCCCGGCAAAGTTCCTATACAAATGTATAATATATATTGTTATACCTCGGATCGCTCGAACACCTATCGCTCGAACCTGATCTCTGGTCCCTTCGGCAGATATATAGTGAAAATCACACCTTTTCGGTCAAACACAAAAAGACAAGTCGACATGTCCTAATTAAATGGCAGTCGGCGACACATGTTTTTAACACCTCGTGATCGTGACAAAGGCAATTAAGGTTAATTATTACAAAATAAGAGGTGTTGTTACCGATTTGTTTGTCATGATAATATTGTCTGTTTTTTTGTTGATTTGCCGTTTATGGTAACGATAAAAAGAGAGTAACTCGTGAAATAAGTGAAATATGCAAAAGTCAATAAAGAATGACGTTTACCCGGACGGCTTTAATTACAACCGTAGTTCATGTAACGTGAATTATATACTTGTACGGGAGTTTATTTTAGTAAATGACTACAAATAAATGCTGCTGTAAAACTTGTTCTTAAATTTTTCATTAATTTATTTGTTTTTAAATTAAATTAATCCCATTATAAACATATAGATATATTTTGAACATTGTTCAACAAGTTTGGTCTGATTGCCCAATCGAACTCAACCAATTACAATATGCATGAATATAGATTAACACAACGTACCGTTAATACTAAATTAAAAACACTGGGATAATAATTCTGAATATGACATATTCGAGGAATAAATGTACTAACAAACACTTATATTTACGTATTTATCATTTAACCGATGTCTGCTAGAAAACCTTTAGGCATATGATCAACGTAATAATAGTTCGACCTCGGTTGGCTCGAACTACCAATCTCTCTAACAAATTTGCACACCCCTCCGAGTTCGAGCGAACGAAGTTCGACTGTAATTGTATGTTCACTGGATCAGAAGTCATTCACCTGATCATTGGCTGCCGATAGGGGGCATACATGTTTTACAAACATATCTTGTTGGTTATAAACTCTTATTGAATTTTTTATAGGAGTTTACCCATTACTGCACTTGAAGGTGACTATGAGGTTAATGCAGTTTTTTTTGTCAGAGAAACAGTTTGCCACATTATGAATAATGATTCAAAATTGTTATGCATAAATTGTTTTCACAAATATTTTTTGTTTGCAATACAATTTTTTGGCTTGCTGTAATTTTTATGGGTGGGAAACAAAAAATATTTTGTATTTTAAGCTTTACTTTATAGTGAACAGAAGTAATTATTTGTGTTTTATAAGCAAATGCGACAAGTAAATACTGTTACTTCAGTAAAGTAATTATAAGATTTATCAAAAGACATTTCTATTCCATTTGCTTTTATATAATCTGCGGTTTAAACACAATAATAATAATGATTATTATGTTAAGTATTTTAAAGTAACTCCTTTATTACAGTTTTAATTCTCAACTTAGGAATTGTGTTTAGTCTCATTGCTGAACACTGTATTTATGTTAATGTTGTATTAATTGTTTTCTTATATTAGGTACGGCAGTACCGAAATGAAATTTTTCACTCAAGCACTATGGAGTTAGAGGAGAGTAAGGCTAATTCATATATTGATGATATGATAGCTGTTCTACAAGATGGTAAGGAACTTGTACATCGACAAGATGCACAAGAAGCTGTTGGGAAACTTCAAGATGTAAGTGTACATAATAAATTATAAGTTTGAAATCTTAGTTTATAATAATTAAAATAAGCTCTCTTTAAATTAATGGTAAATTGTATGATAATAGAAAATTAACCAGATTAAAATATCTACAAAATGTAAATATATAAAATGCATATCTTAATTTGTAAGTATTAGGCCATCCTTAAAAAAATTTTGTTTGCAGTAACGCGACCGACTCACAAAATTTGCCCCTACTCAAATTTTTTTTCGTGGTCTGGATAAAAAAATTTTTTTTTGAATCAGAAAATTATGCCTTGTGCTTTAAGGTTAATAGAAGAAATAAAATGTAGTTCTTATTAAATTATAATTCAGTTATCAATTTATTAATTGTTACAAGATTATCAAAGCATATATTGTCCAGCATTTTGATATTCCATGTTTATTTGGGAGTACAGTTCAATAATAAAAAAAATCGACCTACCTACCCACCTTGAAAATTCTGGGTCGGGTAACTGCAAACAAACATTTTTTTAAGGACGGCCTTAGGAAAGAAGAAAAAAATGTAAAATAAAAATAGAAAAATCTGACCACAAGTCCTACCTTAAAAGTGGATTTTAGAAGTTATAACATAGTATGAGAGAGTAAAGATTAATGAAAACTTTAAGATGATTTTGAAAGTTTGACCTTATATATGATATGTTATAAATATTAAAAGTCACATAGCAGCTACATTTGAAAATTGTTTCTTGTTATAAGCTGAAGAGGAAAGAATTTATTATTACCACTGAAAACTTTAAAGAAATTCTGACTCAAATCAAAGAAAATGCTGCAACAAAAGAGGAATATGAGGAGATCAAACATAAATTTACTGAACTAAAAGCACAGGTGTTGGAAGCTGAGAAAGAACGTACAGAGATGAAAAAAAAAATTACTGTTCTTGAGACGGAGCAAAAAGAGGTAGAATGTGTTCAATTGATAGTTTCCCTTTGATATACCAGTACATGTATTACTGTTTGTTTCCGCTTGATAAACGGTATATGTGTTAATGTTTGTTTCCGGTTGATATACTGGTATATATCTATTAATGTTTGTTTCCGGTTGATATACCTGTATATCGTTTACTGTTTTGTTGCCGGTTGCTTTACCAGTACATGCATCACTGTTTGTTTCCGGTTGATGTAAGTTATGTTATATGTGTTACTGTTTGATTCCAGTTGATATATGGTATATGTGTTCAATTGTTTGTTTCCGGTTGATACACGGTACATTTTTTGACTGTTTCTGGTTGATATATGGTATATGTGTTACTGTTTGTTTCCGGTTGATGCACTGGTATATCTATTACTGTTTGTTTCTGGTTGATATACCTGTATATCTATTACAGTTTTGTTTCCGGTTGCTACACCAGTACATGCATTACTGTTTGTGTCCGGTTGATATACGGTATATATGTTACTGTTTGTTTCCGGTTTATGCACTGGTATATCTATAACTGTTTGTTTCCGGTTAATAAAGAGGTACTTATATTACTGTTTGTTACCAGTTTATACACGGTACATTTTTAGCTCACCTGTCACAAAGTGACAGGGTGAGCTTTTGTGATCGCTTTTCGTCCGGCGTCCGTCCGGCGTCGGTCCGTCCGTAAACTTTTGCTCCTCATAAACCACTAAGCCAATTTCATCCAAACTTCACAGGAATGTTCCTTTGGTGGTCCCCTTTAAAAATTGTTCAAAGAATTTAATTCCGTGCAGAACTCTGGTTGCCATGGCAACCGAAAGAAAAAACTTTAAATATATTTTTTTTTAAAAAACCGAAAGAGCTAGAGCTTAGATATTTGACATAAAACATCTTCTATTAAGTGTCTACCAAAGTTGATCAAATAAAAGCCCTGGGGTCAAAATTGGCCCTGCCCGAGGGGGTCATTGATTTTCCCTATATGCATATAGTAAAAACTTAAAAATCTTCTTTTAAAGAACTCAAAAAGCTAGAGCTAAGATATTTAGCATGAAACATGTTCTAATGGGTGTCTACCAAGTTTGTTCAAATAAAAGCCCTGGGGTCAAAATTGGCCCCGCCTCGGAGGTCATTGATTTTCCTTATATTTGTATAGCAAAAACTTAAAAATCTTCTTTGAAAAAACCCAAATAGCTAGAGTTTAGATATTAAGCATGAAACATCTTCTGGTAAGTGTCTACAAAGTTTTTTCAAATAAAATCCCTTGCGTCAAAACAGGCCATGCCCCAGGGGTGTTATTGTTTTTTTAACTATATGTGTATAGTAAAGGCTTAAAAAATCGTCTTTTAAAAAACCCAATGAGCTAGAGCTTAGATGTTTAGCATGAAACATCTTCTTATAGGTGTCTACCAATTTTGTTCAAATAAAAGCCCTTGGGTAAAAATTGGCCCTGCCGGGGGGGGGGAAGGTGGTGGTGGGGGAGGACAGAGGTCATTGTTTTCCATTATATATGTGTAGTAAAAACTTAACATCAAGAAACATCTTCTAATGGGTGTGTTCCAAGTTTGTTCAAATAAAAGCCCTGGGTTTAAACTGGTCCCTCTACGGGTGCCTTTATACAGGTGAGCGACATCAGGGCCATCATGGCCCTCTTGTTTACTGTTTGTTTCTGGTTGACATATCAGTATACAGGTAAATGTATTACTGTTTGTTTTTGGTTGTATACTGGTACATGCACTACTGTTTGTTTTCATTTGATATACCAGTACATGTATTACTGTATGTTTGGTTGATATACCAGTACATGTATTATGTCTCCCAAAAATTTTGGAAGACATATTGTTTTACAGGCCTTCGCCGTGGTGGTCTGTTTCAAAAAAATACTTGTGTGACTTGGAGACAATGGGTAACAGTAAATCAACCCATTCCATTTTTGCTTGTGTGTACATTTTTAAGCCTTGTCCGCTAAAAATGGCCAAAAAAGATCAGAGGAAAAGACACAGAAAACAAGTTTGTGAGCAAGTACGTCTGTCCGGCCACATTTAGTTTGTCGACCTTCACAGTCTAACCATGGTGGGATTTCAAATAAATGTCCAGAAATACCCTAAATCTTCGGCAAATGCACAAAATGGCCGCTACAGCTAAAATTACAAAAATCTTGTTTGGCCTTCACAGGTCAAATACTGGTAGGATTTCAACCAAACTTTACAGGAGTGATCAGTACCATCCTAGTTGTGCACTATGCCGGCATGTTCCACTTGGCTTGCACAAAATGGCCGGCAGAGCTAAAAATAGAAAAATATTGCCCGGCCTTCACAGGACAAACTAGTGGTGGGATTTCAATGAAACTTTACAGGAGTGATCAGTATCATCCCTAGTTGTGCACAATACTGGCACGTTCCGCTTCGCTTCACAAACTGGCCACTAGAGCTAAAAATATAATAATATTGTCCTGCCTTCACAGGTCAAACTACTGGTGGGATTTCAATTAAACTTTACAGGTGTGACAGTATCAACCCTAGTTGTAAAAAATTCCAGCATATTTCGCTTCGCTGCACAAAATGGCCACCAAAACTAAAAATAGAAAAATCTTGTCGGCCTTCACAGGTCAAACTACTGGTGGGATTTCAACCAAACTTTACAGGAGTGATCAGTACCAGTCCTAGTTGTGCACTTAACCTGCATTTTCTGCTTCGATGTACAAAATAGCCGCCAGAGCTAAGGTAGAAAAAAATTGTCTGGCCTTCACAGGTCAAGCTTCTGGTGGGATTTCCGTCCGTCCGTTAGCAATTAGGTTTCCGGAGCACAAACTCCATTTTGCCCACAATATTCAAACTTTATAGGATGATTGTTCATATTGGGTAGAATACCCCTATTGAATTTGAGATTTCAAGATCAAAGGTCAATGTCACTATTATCTAAAAGCTGAAAACAGTTTCCACAGCATAACTTAAGTTCAATTTGGCCCACATTGTTCAAACTTAATAGGATGATTGTCCATAATAGATAGAAGACTCCTAACGATTTTTGGGTCACAAGGTCAAAGGTCAAGGTCACTATTACCTTAAAACTGAAACCAGTTTTGGGGGCATAACTGGCCCACATTTTTCAAACTTTATAGGATGATTGTCCATATTAGGTAGAAGACCCCTGTTGATGTTGGGGTCACAAGATTTAAGGTCACTGTTACTTTAAAACTGAAAACAGTTTCCAGGGCATAACTTAAGTTCCATTTGGTCCACAGTGTTCAAACTTCATAAGATGAGTGTCCATATAGGGTAGAAGAACCCTATTGATTTTGAGGTCACAAGGTAAAAGGTCGAGGTCACTATTTCCTTAAAACTGAACACAGTTTCCAGAGCATGACTTAAGTTCCATTTGGCCCACAGTGTTCAAATTCATAGTATTATTGTCCATATTGGGAAGAAGAACCCTATTGATTTTGAGGTCAAAAGGTCAAGGTCACTATTACTTTAAAATTCCGGGGCATAACTTGAGTTCCATTTGGCCCACAAACTTCAAACTTCATAGGATGCTTTTCCATATTAGGTAGCAGACCCCTATTTATATTGGGGGTCAAAGGTCAAGGTAACTTTTACCTTTAAACTTAAAACAGTTTTCGTAGTATAACTTAAGTTACATTTGTCCCACAATAATCAAATTTCATAGGAGGATTGTTATTTGAAGGAGGTAATACTTTATTTAATTCCCATGTCTTGAAAATGCTTCATCTTTACTGTGGTCAAGGGGTTAGAGTCGATGACTTCTAATCCAGTTACCTCTCTTGCGTCTGTTCGATCCCAGAGAGATTCTTTGGTAGTTAATGCGCGGAGGAAGGTAGTCAAGTACTGGTGTAACTCTCCAGGAACAATGGTTAGGAAACTACCCGCCTAATAATGACTGAAATACTGTTGGGAAAAGGCATAAAATGAAACAAACAAACTAAGAAAATCATTTTCGGAGTATAATGCTCCACCTTTGCGGTGCTCTTGCTTTCTATTACCCTTTTGGGTGTTGACAAAATGATGCCCCTTTTTTGACGTATAATTTCACGTACCACCACTCTCATAACCTATACAGTTTGAGGTATTGTTGTACATTTCTTCTATACTATAAAAAATGCTGGTCAGCATCTGTTTTATGCACCTTAGGGTTGGCATGTTGATTTTATCAGTTTTTGTAAAGTTAGTAATAGATTTTTAGTTTTAATCTTGTGTAATGTGTAGCCCCAAAAATAGTTGACCTAGAGAGTGGAGTGTGGGGGCACCCGTGTCCAATATGGACACATTTCTAGTTTTCTTTAATTTTCTGCTTAAAGATTTGTTTAAACTGTTTATTTGTTTGCTTTTAGAAAAAAGTTGAGTGTTGCCCCCGCCTGGTAGTGGCTCTTGTTGAGTTTTTGCCCTTTGTTAATTTTTTAGCTCACCTGTCACAAAGTGACAGGGTGAGCTTATGTGATCGCTTTTCGTCCGGCGTCCGTCCGTCGTCCGTCCGTCGTCCGTAAACTTTTACTTTAAATGACATCTCCTCATAATCCACTAAGCCAATTTCATCCAAACTTCACAGATATGTTCCTTTGGTGGTCACCTTTGAAAATTGTTCAAAGAATTTAATTCCATGCAGAACTTTGGTTGCCATGGCAACCAAAAGAAAAAAACTTTAAATATCTTCTTTTAAAGAACCCAAAGGGCTAGAGCTAAGAAATTGAGCATGAAACATCTTCTAATGGGTGTCCACCAATTTTGTTCAAATAAAAGCCCTGGGGTCAAAATTGGCCCCGCCCCAGGGGGTCATTGATTTTCCCTATATGCATATAGTAAAAACTTAAAATCTTCTTTTAAAGACTCCAAAGAGCTATAGCTAAGATATTTAGCATGAAACATGTTCTAATGGACGTCTACCAAGTTTTTTCAAATAAAAGCCCTCTGGTCAAAATTGGCCCCGCCCCGGGGGTCATTGATTTTCCTTATATGTGTATTACAAAAACTTAAAATATCTTCTTTGATAAAAACTCAAATAGCTAGAGTTTAGATATTAAGCATGAAACATCTTCTAGTGAGTGTCTACAAAGTTTGTTCAAATAAAAGCCCTGGGGTCAAAATTGGCCCCGCCCCAGGGGACATTGATTTTCCTTTATATGTGTATAGCAAAAAAACTTAAAAAATCTCCTTTGAGAAAAGCCCCAAATAGCTAGAATTTAGATATTAAGCATGAAACATCTTCTAGTAAGTGTCTTACAAAGTTTGTTCAAATAAAAATGCCCTGGGGTCCAAATTGGCCCCACCCCGGGGGTCATTTGATTTTCCTTATTATGTGTATAGCAAAAAAACTTAAAAATCTTCTTCGAAAAATCCGAATAGCTAGAGTTCAGATATTAAGCATGAAAACATTTTCTAGTAAGTGTCTACAAAGATTGTTCAAAAAAAACCCTTGGGTTCAAATTGGCCCTGCCCCAGGTGTGTCATTGTTTTTTAACTATATGTGTAAAGAAAAAAACTTGACCAGCTAGACTTAGATGTTTAGCATGAATCATCTTCTAATGGGTGTCTACCAAGTTTGTTCAAATAAAAGCCCTGGGGTTTAAACTTGCCCACTACGGGGGCCTATATACAGGTGAGCGACTTCAGGGCCATCATGGCCCTCTTGTTTACTTTATCTTGTCCAGAGCATAACTATAAGTTTGATTGACTCAAAATTTGGTATGTAAAGCTTTTTTTAATTGACCTGAAGTGCATTGCATAAGAATCCATCACAGATTCCTTCATTTGATATGTCAGTGAAAAACTTTTCCTTGGTATTTGTATATTTGATAATATAAAAATTTAATTTATCCTCATATAACATGGTTACTATCAATTTGAATGCCAATAAAGTTAAAGGTACGTGTACATTGCAAGAGTAGTGATAAAAATAGCGTATATTTAAGAAGAAAATGCCCTTACTAACAGCTATGCTGTGACTATTTGACAAGGCAAGGCGTCCGACTCGTGGAGTTTTTATAGTCTATAAAGAATAATGGGGAAACAATATGCACATTCCTTTTGCTTAGACAGAACAAGAAAATCAACTTATAGAAGTTTGCCATGTATAAGTTCTACTGTTTATTTGGACACACTGTATGGTAATCAAATGGACTTAAATACAAATATTACTTCATACAATAAACATTTTTGAAAATTACTGAATAAAACATAATTGTTTGTATTATTATTTATATTATAGGAGATAAAAAGACGCAAGGTAGAAGAGTCTCCTAAACAAAACAGTTGAAATATGAAAATGCTAAATCAGGTATGTCATATGGAATATAAAAAAGGTTAAAATTGGGTATGTTATATAGAATATTAAAAAGGCTAATCAGGTATGGTATATAGAATATTAAAAGGCTAAATCAGGTATGTTAATATAGAATATTAAAAAGGCTAAATCAGGTATGTTATAATAGAATATTAAAAGGTTATATATAGAATTCTAACAGGACCCGTATTTTTTTTTCCCTATTTGAACATGAAAAACCGTAGGTGTGTTATTATGCAATAAAAATACTGTTTGACGCTCTATATTTTAGACACGTGACGCGCTGACAATAAAGTACGGAAACAAAGGCGCAATTTAGCTAATTATCATGTACGGCAACATTTATTTGTTTGATGTCATGTTAGAATCGAAATAATAATATATCCAAATCCGTGATTTTTATTGCTTGATAACATCACTGTTGTCGTTCGGATGTGCATTATTATATCAATCCGGCTACGCACTCGTGATATATTTTTCCAGCATCTGAACTCCAAACAGTGATGTTATTGAGCAGTAAAATCACTGTTTGGCACATATTATTTCTTATTTGAAATGGCTAAATCATGTATATTATTTGGAATATGGAAAGGCTAAATCAGGTATGTTATTTGGAAATATAAAAAGATTTAATCAGGAATGTTTTATAGAATCTGAAAAGGCTTAATCAGGTATGTTTATAAAGAATTGAAAAAGACTAAATTAGGTATGTTATATAGAATGGTAAAAAAAGGCTAGATCAGGTAAGTTAACTATGGAATATAAAAAAGGGTAAATCAGGTATGTTATATAGATATTAAAAGGCTTAAATCGGGTATGTTATATAGAATAGAAAGGTTAAAATCAGGTATGGTATATACAATTCTAACAGGACCCCGCATTTTTCCCCTATTGAACATAGAAAATCCGAAAGTGTGTGTTATTATGCAATAAAATCACTGTTTGAACGCCTCTATTTTTAGACATGTGACGTAATTTATACATGTGTACGGTAACTTTTTTTTTTTATTTATAAACAAACTCATGGCCCTTAAGGGCAGATGAGAGTGAACATAACAAACAAAAAATGAATAATATAAAACATGGCGTGAAGTAAATAAGTAAAATAAGGAAGATGACTTATTGAAATTTCAAAAGCATTATAGCTTTGACAAAAATGGCTAGATTAACATAAAGTATTTCTGTTGTCGCTACACATAAGAGCCTGAAAATTTAAAATAACTAGGAAACCTTCAATAATAGTTACTGATATACCTGTGTCTTTCATGATTAAAAATAAGTACATTTAAAAATATAATGAAATTCATCAACCTATTTCTTGACTGATTACAAAAGTGAGCAATGTTCTATTTTCTCTTTCAAATACCAAACTAGCGACCTTTCTCTATAATGGAATATTCGAATTGAGACATCTAAATTACAGAGAGCAATTGCTTAAATTTCTTGGTAAACTAGTAAATAATGTTCTAATTTAAATTGAGTTTTATATATTCTATAGTTTAAACACTTAGCAGAATCAAAAACATCACTATTCCATACTTGTAAAAACTGATCACGTAATCGTAATTTTATTACATATTTAAAATTATTAAAATTTGCAACATTCTGAGTTATCCAAAAATCAGAAAACCAATATTATTCAAAGTAGATGTGACGCGCTGACAATAAGTACGGAAACAAAGGTGCAATTTAGCTAATTATCATGTACTGCAGCATTTATTTGTTTATGTCGTGTATAATTGAAATAATAATATATACGAATTGGTGATGTTATTGCTCGATAACATCACTGTTTGTCGTTCGGATGCAAATCATTGTATCACTCGGGCTACGCCCTGGTGATATTATTCCCAGCATCCAAATTCCACACAGTGATGATATTGAGCAATAAAGAAGCAGTTTGGAATATATTAATTCTTAATTTGAAAAGGCTAAATCAGGTATGTTATTTGGTGATATAAAGACTAAATCAGGTATGTTCCTATAGAATCTGTAAAAGGCTACACAATCAAGGTAATGTTATATAGAATAGAAAAAGGCTAAATCAGGTATGCTAATATAAAATAGAAAAGGCTAAATCAGGTATGTTATATTGAATATTAAAAGGCTAAAATCGGGTATGTTATATAGAATAGGAAAGATTAAATAAAAAATATGAAAAGGCTAAATCAGGTATGTTATTTGGAATATAAAAAGACTAAATCAGGTATGTTCTATAGAATCTGAAAAGGCTTAATCAGGTATATTATATAGAAAAGAAAAAGGCTAAATCATGTATGTCATATAGAATATGAAAAAGGCTAGATCCGATATATTATATAGACTAGAAAAAGGCTAGATCAAGTATGTTACATAGAATAGAAAAAGGCTAGATCAAGTAGGTTTTATAGAATAGAAAAAGGCTAAATCAGGTATGTTATATATAATAGAAAAAGGCTAGATCAGGTAGGTTATATAGAATAGAAAAAGGCTAAATCAGGTATGTAATATAGAATAGAAAAAGGCTAAATCAGGTATGTTCTATAAAATCTGAAAAGGCTAAATCAGATATGTTATATAGAATAGAAAAAGGCTAAATCAAGTATGTGAAATAGAATATGGAAAGGCTAAATCATATATGTTATATAGAATCTGAAAAGGCTAAATCAGGTATGTTATATAGAATAGAAAAAGGCTAAATCAGATATGTTATAAAAAACGTGAAAAGGCTAGATCAGGTAGGTTATAAAGAATATGGAATGGCTTCATCATGTAAGTAATACAACATTTGTAGAATATTAATGCTATTATTTGAGATTTGCCTCGTCGGTGCACTAAAGAATATCTATGACAAAACGAACATTTGAATTATTTCAAATGTTACCTGGACTTTTTCATTACATTAACTGTTTAGGTCAAATACTTAACAGTTAATTTTTATGCCCCCACCCCTTTAAGGAGAAGAAGAGGTACATGTATTTTGCTTATGTCGATTTATCGGTGGAACTGTCGGTCTGTCTGTCGGTAGACCACATGGTTTCAGCTGATTATCTTAAAAACTATGTATCACGAAGTATTCATATTTCACATTCTGATTGGTCATAACTAGTAGATGACCCTATTGATTTTGGGGTCACTAGGTCTAAGGTCAAGGTCATATGGGTCTTAAATGTCAAAATGTTTGTTGCTGATTATCTTAAAAAAGTATTTATCAAAAGGTATTCATATTTCACATAGTGATTGGTCATAGCTAGTAGATGACCCTATTGATTTTGGCGTCACTAGGTCAAAGGTCAAGGTCAGAGGGCCCTTGAATGGTAATAAGATTTCTGCTTATCATCTCGGTTACTATTTTTCACAAAGTCTTCAGGGGCCTTAGATGTCTCAATATCTTGAAAACTATTTATCAGAAAGTCTTTATTTGTTTCATAATAGAACTCTTCCATGTACCCATTTTTGGCAAGTTTCTATTACAAAATTACCAATAATGTGAGTCAAGGGCTAGAAAGGTGGCTTATGTGTTTGACATTTCTTGTTTTCTTAGTTCTTGGTTAATTTATTTTTAGAATTAATTGTAACTTGGACAAAACAATACCTTTGACACAGCTGAAGAGTTTAATAATTCAAATAAGACATTGATCTTAAAATTTCCGTGGCCAAGACAGGCCGTCAAGGTCAAATTTTGACCTAATTATGATGATTTTATCATATATTATTATTTGTGGCCCCCAGTATAAGGGGGCGGGGCATTTAGTTTAAACCCTTGTCTTGTTCATCCCCTTTTTTGTGTCACTAGTCAAAAGTAATTGACCTAAGAGTCATGAACCTTACAGGAATGTTTATCAACATGTAAGTTGTGCACGCTAGGTATTTTCATCGTGGATTATTTAGTTGTTAAGAGTTATTGCCCTTGACTTAGTAAACATTTGCAATTTGCAACTTGTGTTGGACGTAACTCAAAAAATATTTGACTTACAGTCATGAAACCTATTTTCAACTTGTATCGTACGTAACTAATTTTTTTTTTTGACCTATAGTCATAAAACCTTACAAGAATGTTACTCAGCATGTGTAGTTGTGCAGCTGGGTATTTTTGTGTGGATATTATTAGTATTTTTAGAGTAAATGTTGGTCAGTGTGTGGTCTTATGCACCTTGGGGTTTTTCTTGTGGATTTTTTCAGTATTTGTAGTATTTGCCCTTTACTTAATAAAAGATTTTTAGTTTTCAACTTGGGCACATGTAGCCAAAAAAACTAATTTGACATACAGACATAGGATTGACAAATCGATTGAGTGTGGGGGCACCTGTGTCCTATGGACACATTTCTAGTTTTACATTTAATTTATACTTTTACAAAACAACACTACAAAATCATCATTTCAATGTCAGAGAATTCTCTAGTTTGTAATAGAATCTGGTTATTTTTAGATTATTTGTGAGTATTTTCTAATTTATGGGCTGTTTTATCAATTTCAGGTTTTCGTACTCAATTGATAGAACATTATCGCAGTGATGTGCTTAAAGTATCAGCAATACCTTTACAACCTGATGAGGAAAATTATATCTTCAGTGACGTTTATATAAGACCCACGATAACAAACAAGATAGAAAAGAACAGAGGGGAGTCTGAGGAAAAAGAAATAAAGACCATGTCAGAGATTTTCAAAAAGAATGGGGAACCACAGAAGTTTATTTATGTTGTTGGAGATGCAGGGTCTGGTAAGAGTAGTTTCTGTAAATATTTGATCAACTGTTGGTGTATGGCACAAAATACACAAGTGATGGACACAATGAAGATGATGAATTTGATGGAGTTCAAGGAAATGAAGAAATTTGATTTCATGTTTTATATTTCTCTCTAGACATAACATAAAAAGGCAAAGTATCGCCAAGAAATGCTTGAAATGCGATATGATAAGATTAAAAAAATTTAAGTAAACTTCTGGAAAATGATTCTGAAAAGATAATTATTTTGCTTGATGGTTTAGATGAATGGTCTTTCTTTTTTTTGACAAGTGAGAACTAAGGAAATGAGTTCCAGGCAGGCCTTCCTGAAACGTGACTTTACAAAGAAATACACAATTGTTACTACATCACGGCCATGGAAAATTCACAGTTTGAGAGTAAGTAATAGAGAGATTCATCAATTATTGAAAATTAAAAGGGTTTTGATGAAACAAATGAAAAAGAAATGATTAAGAAAACAATAACAGCATTGAATGAATCATTAGATCCTAATGTGTGTGAAAAAAAACTTAAGGTACAGTCTCTGGTTGGCCTGAAACAGGTACCAATTACGCTGCAGCAATTGGTTTGTCTATGGTGTGATGGTAAACTCAATAAAACCTCAAGGTGTGCTATTTATACTGGTATGTTAGAACTTTATTTCACATGGAATATCAATAAAACTTTAGGAAATAATACAGGATGTATCGAAAGTTCTCAGAATGTTGAACTCCCTCAGTATTTAACAGATGTAGAGATATGTAGATTAAATAGTCATCTTATATATGGTGTGTCGCACTTGGCTTATGAGACATTGTTCAATTATACAAAGGATAAGTCCTTAACATTTGACAAATCTGTGTTTGATGAATTGAAAATATCACAAAGAGTGCGAGAAACATGTCTGAAACTGGGAATTTTGACAGAAGATAAATGTCCTTCTTTATCTGTATCCAAACCTAAAAGCTCACTGTTTTCTTTCATTCACAAATCAATGCAAGAATTTCTGGCTGCAGTGTATATTGGTATCAATTTCAGTGCAAAAATTGGTTTGTCAGATAGTACAGGAAATGTTGAATTAGCCAAGAAGTTTATTAATGAGGTTTTTCAGAAATGTTCAACAGTTAATGACATATTAGAGCAGTCAAATGTTATCATTATGCTATCTGGTTTAGAACCTAGATTAGCAACTCATGTTTCAAAATACATATATGATACTGTGTCAAAAGACTGTCGTGTTCAGGAATACAGGAGAACAATAAGTAGTGAATTATTATATTTAATTGATTCTGATACTAAATATATTGCTGATATTCAAAAGTTTATGTTTGAATCAATGGAAGAATTCAATGCAAAATGTAGTATAGAAAGTAATCCTGTATTTTATATAGGAGATTTGGTCATTGATAGATGGGGTCAGTATTGTGATATTGTTTGTTCAATTATTGATCAAAAACACATTGTTCCTGACTCTGTTCTTTCTATTAATGTAAATAACATCAACACGGCAAATGTTAAATTTACAAAATATTTACCAATGTTTCACCATCTTGAAAAAATTGTAATATCATATGAAATAGAAATAAATGAATTAGAATTTCTAAGGTTATCAAGTTCACAAAGTGATAGTACACAGAGTGATGAACAGATGATTAATGAGATTAACAATTGTGTTTGTGAGACAATTAAAGTAAATACTTCAACATTAAAATCTCTGTCTCTTCATGTCTCTCACAATGACATGTATAACCCAGTGTGTAAAACAGTTGTTAGTTACCTACCTAGTATGATCAATCTTGTAGCAATAAGAATGAGTGATATAAGAATGAGTCATGATGATACTACTACATGTTGTAATTTTCTTGAGGGAACCAGTCATCTTGAACAAATAGATCTTCGTATAGTTAAATGTGAGTGTGAGAAGCAGCATGATGTAAATTTATCAAAACATCAACAACTTCAGTACCTTTATTTGAATAATACTGTTACTGTGATAGATGCTGATACTACAAACCTTGAAATATTTACATTTGGTGAATTGAAAGATAGCAATTATGAGAAAATATTTGATATTATTAGAAAATCTTACAAATTAAAAAAACTTAAATTGTATGGAGATGATAACAATAAATCTCAATTATATCATACCAACATAACAAAGAGACTAGTCAGAGTATTACCATTGTTACACAATCTCAGTAAGCTTGAGTTACGATGGTGTAGGTTAACAGACAATATAATACAGTCACCTTTAGAGATGAAGAGTTTAAAGTACATTAAGCTTTATGCAGTCATAATGAGTTTGACAACATGGCAGAAATTTGTTGATAGTCTTCCTGTTATTCCTCATACTGTAGATGTGAGAGTAGAGCACTGTTATATAACAGGAGATGACGAGGAGTGTAATGGTTATAGGTTAATATTGACATCACATGGACTTAGAGGAGGGAAGGGAAATGTTGCTATACAATATGTAAAAGATCAGGATCAGTTATTTCATGTTAAACAGGATGGTACTATTTGGTTTGTATTTTCAACAAAAAAGTGATATAGTAAACTTGTAGTAAACATAGATTATTGCATGTTAAAAGAGATGATTTGTTTAAATTTTCAACAAAAAGGGTATAAAAGTATCAATTTAGAATACATGAAGTGTTTAAACTAAATTATTAAAAGAGATGATAATTTGGTTTTTCATTTTCGACAAAAAGAAAATGATGTGATTTTTAACATAGTGAGAGAGAATACATACAGTACATAGTGCTTATTAATAATTTAAATTATTTCATGATAAAAGACATAATTATTAAAATAAACATTATCAGCAAAAAAATATAAAAAAAAATACTAAAGTTACATATTGATATGTTAAATAATGATTGTAATACAATATATGATAGATAACAATCATCAAAAACAGATCATAAATATCAATTTCTGATCATTGTAGTAATTTTGAAATTGATGAAAGTAATATTCAAAAGTGTATTTAAATAAATAAATGAAAGAAATGCAGTGGATTATTATATTATATGATAGGAATAGGGAATGGTATATGTAAATAATGGTTATATAAGAAATATGTCTATATGGTATTTACAGTTGAATGTTATTAATAAATACCAGTTATATGATATATAGGACAAGTGATTGGTATATAAAAAATACCAGTTATATGTTAAATATGCAAAGGAAATGGTATATATCAATACCAGTTATAAGATATAAAGAAAAATGGAATGGTATAAATGAATACCAGTTATATGTTATATAACACAAAGGAATGTTATATGTAAATACATGTTATAAAATATTAAGACAATGGAATTTTTTATGCTAATACCAGTTGTATGATATATAGGACAAATGATTGGTTTATGTAAATACCAGTTATATGTTATATTGAACAAGGGAATGGTATACATAAATACCAGTTATATGTTATAAAATACAAGGGTATTGTATAATAAATACCACTTATATGATATATAGTACAGTGGAACAGTATATCTTATCACAAATTATATGTTATATAGGATTATATGATATAGAGGAAAAGTAAATGGTATATATGAATACCAGTTATATGAGATATTGGACAGGTGATCAGTATATGTAATAACCAATTATATGATATATATGATTATATGATACAGAGGAAAAGTAAATGGTATATATGGATACCAGTTATATAGGATATAGCACAGGTGATCAGAATATGTAATTACCAGTTATATGATATATAGGGTTATATGATACAGAGGAAAAGTAAATGGTATATATGAATACCAGTTATATAAGATATAGGAGAGGTGATCAGTATATGTAATAACCAGTTATATAATATATAGGGTTATATGATATAGAGGAATAGTCAATCGTTTAATAATGAATACTTGTTAGATGATAAATATGACAAGTAAATGGTATACATAAATTGTTTCATTTACATGTTATATTTTAGTGATTCCTTCTTGGATTGTTTTATATTGAAAATATTGAAAAAAGTTAAAAAATTTTATTTATGTAAAAAAAAATAATGTGTACAAGTTAAAAATTTTTAGTATTTTCAAAGTTAAAATTAAAAAGGGCTCCCCTGA